GGGCTTAGGGTTTGGGGTCAGGGTTTCCGGTAAGGGCTGTCGAGCCCGGCTGCAAAGCCAGCATGAGGGCTGGTGGATTGGGGGGTATCGGGGGCCAGGGCAGCAGGTTCATAGGGTCTAGGGCTTTAGGGTTCAGGGTTAGAAATCTTGAAGGTGTAGGCTTTAGGTAGGGTTTAGGGATTGAAATTGAGGGCTGAAGGTGTAGGGTTTAAGGTCTCGGGTGGGCATTCGGGCATAGGGTCAGGGCTTCTTTTGAGGTCAGCTCTGCCCCAAGCCCTCGATGCTGAGTTTTTTGAGCCTGAGCCCGAGACCGTAAGCCTATCAAAGTGCATCCTTCAGAATTTAGGGTTTAGGCTTTAGGGCTTATGCACGAGTCATCGCTGAGGCGGGCAGCTTGGAGGCACTTCAGAGAGACCTCGTTCAAGAAGGGTTTAGGGTTAAGGGTGCTCTTTACGTACATGTAAGCGTTTGCCACTTGGTATCTTCGGTGTCGCAGTTTTCGGTCTGTGGCCCCGTTGTGCGATGTAAGCGTAGAGTGACATGTAGCGTTTGAACGTGCCGGTCTGTCTCACCCATGTGGAATCGTGAAGATTGCTAAGATCGTGTAGTACCTAGGGTAGTCCCCGGCCCTCAATCGTCGTTTACTCTTTGCAGTTTCTGATAAGTTTTCCATTGCCCGACTCCCCCTCTTGCGTGACCTTGCTCGGCAGTGACTCATAGTGACCGAGGTCCTGCAACTAGATAGTGGTGTGAAGCAGGATCTGTGTGCAGTGCAAGCCGCCGCTTTAGCAGCATTCTAGTCCCAGTTGTTTGCATGCGTCGATTTGGCTTGTCTCGGCAGTGTCTCGCTCATCAAACCACATGCCTCGCCTGGACAATTTTGGGGGTTGTAAGGGAATAGCAGTACATACTACTGTTGATGATATAAATCCTGCATTACCGACCCTAAACTATAGGGAATTACGGTATATTCCTTATTATGGGTCATGCAGGATTTATATCCTCAACCGTAGCAAGTCCACCCCCCAAAGAAGAAGCCGAAGGAGGTGGCTGCAGCCAGAAGATACTTCGACGACCTGCCGTGGCCAGGAGGATTCAGAGTCTCAAAAGTAAAGGCTATTTAGGGTCCACCTGTAGCCGAAAAACACACCTTTTTTTGGGGCTCCTTACTATGGTTTCTAAAGTATATATATATATATATATACACGGATATATATATATATATACACATATATATATATATATATATATATGCATATAGCTCCCCATATAGCTCCTTAAACAGGGCTTAGGTCCTAAACCTGAGACTTGAAACACTAAACCAGGCTCCAAGGGCTTTCGGGTTTCTGCCATTTAGCATTAGAAATCACCAGCGTTATTTGTTATGTCCTTAGGGTTTAGGGTTTAGGGTCTAGGGTTTCTTTTTTAGAAGCATTATAGTATCGTATACACCAAAACCCTAGTCTAGTTATCAAGGCACCTACATTGGATGTTTGTAGATGTGTTGCGGAAGGTGCTCCTGAGTGTGATCGGGTTTCTGTGGATCAAGCCTGTGTGGGCTGCAGGTTTGGGGGCAGCCATTGTTTTTGGATGAAAAAAAGGGTCATTTAGAATAGGGTTTTGGGGATAATTGTGGTACAGCTATGTCGGGACTTAAGGGGGCAATATGTACTCACCACGTATTCCGACCCCTTTATATGAGCTTGCATGAAGGGTCTTTGTTGTCAAACTCCCATCTGAGGCCAAGCTGGTGCTTGAGTCCTAAGCGTATCGAAAACCGCGGACCATGGCCCGTGAGCCAAGGCAAACGATGCTCAGCTTATTCATGAGCATCGCCGGCGGAGTGAGCTGGGAGGAGGCTTCATCTCTAGGATTTCCGAGCCCCTGGTAACTTGGAGCCCAAGCCTCAGAGCCTGAGCCCGGACCTTTAGGGTTTAGGGTTCAGGGGTTAGGGTGTAGGGTTTAGGGGTTTAGGGGTTTAGGGTTTAGGGGTTAGGGTTTAGGGGATCCAGCCCTGAAGGATTGCCAAGGACAAGCAGAAAGGGTTCTCGAGTCAGTTTCTGGCATTCAGCGATGCACGGCCAAGCGAAGCTAGAGGTGTTTGTGTGTGTGTGTGCGCGGGAAACCCAACCTACAACGGGAGTGCTCTTTTGCAGGATCTTGCGCATGGCATGAACACTCAGTAACAGCAGGGGGCCGCAGGCCTANNGCCAACGAAGACCTCCGATGGTAGGTGTGAACATGTACCTGCAAGTAAGTTAAGATTTTTTTATAGTCAACTCCATCAACAGGGTAACCATGAGCCTATTGAGAGACCTCCCACAAAGTTTTTCTCTTTGAAGTCTCAGATGAGACCGTGAACTCCTATCTGAGTTGACATCACTCTTGAGAACCTACCTGCCAGAGTTTGCCTGGAGTTCGAGTGTGTGTGTGTGTGTGTTGCATGTGTTGCATGATCGGGTTGTCGCAAGCAGGTTCCGGTAATCAGATTTGTTTCAAGCGCATTTTGGCCTCTTTAGATCTCTGTGGCCTGTCAGGTAGTTGTGCCTCTGCGAGCCATCTCCGTCGTTTGGGTGGCGATCTTTCTGACGTACGTGTCCCGGCTAGTTCGCATGAGCCCCCGCGCTTTCTGCGAGGTTGTTTGGCAGCTGTCGCAGGCAAGTGTACTGCGGCCGCCTGAATTCCCGGAGGCTCCAAAACCCTTAGATCAAGTTGGTCCTTGCCTTCTTTGCGTTCTTTGCTCTCTGCCTGGGCTGTCCTTATGTTCGGTTTTTCTATCCGCAGTCCGAAAGCGTCGTCGGACTAGACTAGTCAGTCAGGTCTTTAGCAGAGTCATGCCCCACCCCAAAACTTGAACCCTAAACCCTGGCTGTTGCCATGTCCTCCTACTTTGTGTGAAGTTTACATAACCTCAAAGGTGGACTCAAGCGACCACAAGGTTTGGTTGCAGAGCAAAGCGCGGTTTTTGGGTAAAAGTTCTCGGGAATGTAGGGATTCAGGGGGAGTGCAAGGCATGTTCAACCTGCAGTATGCTTGTCGCCTGGTTCCGAGTTCCGAGGTATCTTTCACGTATTTCGCGGTGCTTAATGCATCTTGGTTGCACGTTCTCGAGTTTTGTCCTTCCACCTATGGGGTCCGATGGTTTCGATCTGCACGGCAGATCACTGCACGATTCAAGGCATTCCCATGCTGGCCGGGCGTGTGTAGGCATGTCACACCACCAGACCCGCCCCTGGTACCGCCACCGCCACCACCACGACCACCACGACCACGGCCAAGCGTCTGCATGACCAGGTTGGTGATGGCGGTAGTGTCGATGATGATAACGCTGGTGATGATGATGGTGGTGATGATGATGATGCGGTGTGCCGATAGCCGTCATCAACATCATCCACCAGTGTGCTTAGTTTGTTTTCTGGGCAACATAGAGTAGCAATAGTACTCCACCGTCAGCACCAGGTGCATTCTTCAAACTCGCAATCGTGCACTCGGATTAAGATCCCATCATGGCGTTCATCCTTTTGTATGAGCACCGAGATGTTTTCTGGCCGTATGTTCCCGGGTTTCTACAACTCTGTGGACTGCGGCGTCGTCTACAGTCACACTTTCCGAGGTGGTCACTGGTGTTTTTTGTCAGCATCTTGGCAGCCACGAACTCTCGAAAAGGTCATGCATAACCCTTGCGTGAGTCCTTCCGTCCTTTGTGAGAACTCGACCCTAAACCCTACGGGTTCCAGGATTCTGGGCATCTTGCCCCCTGTTGGGGCTGGTTGACCCGCGCCTTCCAGGATTTTTGGTCTATGGGGGTGTTTGAGGTTTCGCACTGAATGGATTCAAGAATGTCGGGTTTAAGGATGTAGGCTGGAGGGTTCAAGGTTTTCAGAAGCTTGAAGTGCTGTTATGAGCAGCAGGGCAGGATGCAAGAAAAGGATGTGAGGCTTGAGGTTAAGGGCTTAAGCCGCACTTACCGCTCTGAGCCCGAAACCTTCATCCCTCTGTGCTCCTGTATGGCGAAACCCCCAGAACAGGAGCTTCAACAATCCCCAGCGTCGTCGAGTCTTATCGCATTGGATTTAGGGTTTCGAGGGTTTCAGGATATAGCCTGCTGCATCCCAGGAGTGCGATCGACAGTGCCCAAAGTGACCATGACATGGTCTTGCAGTCCATCCTTGCCAACAAGCAGGTAGGGCCTCCTTGGAGGATCTTTCGCGTGACGCTCACCCAACTTGCCTTCCTCTACTGACCCGACCCAAGAGACCTCGTCCGGCGGAGTCCGAGTTGCGGGAGTGTAGTTTCCCAAACAAGCAAGCCTACATCCAGACCTAAACCTTCAATTCCGAAATCCTAAACCCTCAGTTCCGGACAGTGAGGGGGACCCCCTCGCAAAACGCGAAGCCAGTGGTGCTGAGTAAGTAATTCGGTTTTATAAATCTCAGGAACTTTTGTATCACAAACTCCATAAGTGTACAGGGTGGGTGTGTATCCTGTCTGATTACGATGGGAGCCTTGTGTTGAATCCTAAGGCCTAAACCAAGGCCTCGTGAATTAAAACCCCAACCAGAAACCTAACACCTCAAATCCAGCGGACATGTGAGCAAGGCCCACATAGAGAAGATCCGATATCTGCTGCTCGGCGGATCGTTTTTGGGATCGAGGTATGGCATTGTTGCTGCTGGGGCATGCTGCAAACTCTGAACCACCCAATCCCCAAGCCCATTCTCAACAATTCCCAGCGGCCTTTTGAGAGTTCGTGCCGCAGCTTGCCTTAATTTGGGTTCACCAGTTTGGACTGCGCATTCGGAACTCTCTTGACATCGGAGGTGTGTAGCTTGTCTAGGCCACATGGGTGATACTTAGGGTCCATATTGAACTTGCTGATATCAGACTGGTACGATTTTTGGGGGCCTGTTGCCTGCAACCCCCTTGGTTTGGATGTGGCAGGTTCAGCGAGATCGACCAGGAAGACTCTGGAGTGATCACCTTTCAGATACTTCGCTGCAAACCAGCCTAAAGGATCCTGTTGAGTCCTGAAACACCAGATAATTCCGCTGTACTAAATGCCTAAACACAAGGGTTTTCCAAACTGTAGCAAGAAACATCCTGTTAAAGCTGTAGTACTTGTACTTGATTCAAGTGCACCTGTCTAAGCACAGCCGTTGTCTACATGCAATGCCATGTGACCCAAAGCGGGGACAGGAGTTCCCCCAGTAACTCTGTGCCTCATACGGTGTGTGTTCTTCTTGCTCCTTGTTGTACTAACAAATTCAACAAACCATATTATTCTGATTGCGAAGGCCCCCATGCTATTTTTTCGGGTTGGTGAAAAGTGGCCTTCGGAGATAAGTGTCGAGCAAATGGTTCACAGACGTCTATCGGCCACCACATTGCTCGTTGACCATGGGCTTGGGCATTTGACTGAGCCATTTTTCTTAGAGTCTTAAGAGTTATATACTCCTGCGAGGCCCGTAGGCTTCTACAGGCTCGCGCGCAAACACGGTTCCAGGTATCCCCCTGACAGGCTCTTACACTCCGAATATATAAATGCTGAGGCCCTAGAGCCCGCTTCGGGCAAAGGGCTGATTGTTTAGGGAGACTTCGGGTGCAGGTTTTGGTGCTTGGGCTCCGAGGTTCGTTCAAGATCAGATCCGAAAACATTGATCTCGCCCCTTCAAAGCACTGAGGATGTTTCAAGACAAAATTTCCTCCCGAGAAGTTCTCACCTACTTCGAGTCCATCGACCTGGACATCTGGGATGCATCCCGGTCCAAGGGTGTATATGGAAGCCAGAGTCATTAGTGATACTATTCCTCGGTCCTTTTTTTGTACTGTGTTATCACAAAATGCACCGAAACTTTATGCTAATGATGAAGCCCCTTGTCTTGGGTTTAGGTCGGAAGGTCTGGGGGGGATGCCTGACCCGGAAAGTCCAACCCAGAGCCCTAAACCCTCAACCTTGAACCCTAATCCCCTAAACCCCTAAACCCCTTTCCCCCTAACCCCCTAAACCCCTACACCCCTAAAGCCCTAAACCCCTAAACCCCCTAAACCCTAAACTCTCCACGCCCAAGTCCGGCATCTGCCAAGTCCCAACGTGGAGTTTCATTTCAACCTTAATTTCGGAACCTTTTATCCCCCAAGCATTTTTCGTTGGTCCGTTTCAAGATCTACTGAGGGTTGGGGGCCTAAGAACCCTAAACCCACAATCCCTAGCCCCTGAAAGGCCCGAAACCCTAAATCCTCTAAGCCCTAAGCCCCAAACTTTAAGCCCCAAAATAAGCCCTAGATAAGCCCCGGCTCTATAAGCCTAAGGTCTGAACTCTACCCTAAACCCTAAACCCTAAACCCTAAACTCTAAACCCTAAACCCTAAACGCTAAACCCTAAACCCCAAACCCTAATTCTTCAGTTCCGGGGCTCCCTGAAAGGCTTGGTCCTTTTTCAAGCTCCTCGACCTCGACTCAGGCGGGTTGATGCAGCTGCAGGGGTTGGTAGGGCTTCCAGTCTTCGGGTTCAGGGTTTAGGGTTTTGGGTTTAGGGTTTTGGGTTTAGGGGTTAGGGTTTAGGAAAGAAGGATTTGGGTTTAGGGTTCGGGTTCTATGGTTCAGGGTTCGGGTTCTATGGTTTAGGGTTCGGGTTCTATGGTTTAGGGTTCGGGTTTAGGGTTGGCAAGCGCACTTTCAGAGGGGTTTAGGGTTTAGGGTGTGTAGGAGGGTGGAGGCTTTCGCGGTGTAGGCGGCAGGTGCGAGATCCGAAACACGAAATGTCCGTCATTGCTTTCGATCATTTTGATCATGCCCGTAAGCCCCAAAGTAAAAGCTTTCAGTCCCAGGACCCAAGCCCTAAATCTCAAACCCTAAAGTTCTAAATCCCGAAACTTTGAACCCGAAACCTAATTTTTGGGGCCCCTTTATGTACTGTCTTTATGTTCTTCAACAGGCAGGTTTTTCGGAGCTACAGGTCTGCCTTGAAAAGCCGAAATTTTAGTACAGAAGTCTGAACCCAAAGCCCTAGACTTAGACCCGAAACCAGATTAGTTGCTCTGAGGAACTTGGTTGCTGGAATCCGTGCCTGCTTGTGCGAGCGTGGGAACCGAAAACCCTGAACCGTCTGAGGAGGGGCACCCTAAACCCTAAACCCTAAACCCCACTACTATGGCAAGGAAGAAGGCCCGGACGCCGAGACCCCTTAGACCCTAAACCCTAAACCTGTCTAAGACCCTTCAACCCTAGACCCTTTTTAAGACCCTTAGACCCTGAACCCTGAACCCCTATAAGACCCTTAAACCTTAAAAGACCAGGGGGAGCCATCGAGATCGAGGAGTTTCTGCTCCTTGCCCCAAGCCGCAGAATCGTATCGTGGGTTGAAGGGTAGGGTTTAGGGTTCAGGGCTCAGGGTTTAGAGTTTAGGATTTAGGGCTCAGGGGCTCGGGGTTTTAGGGTTTAGGTTCAGGGCTCAGGGTTTTGTCAAAAGGGTCTAAGGTTGCTGGTTGTAAATGAGTAAAGGTCCGTTCCTGGTTACCGCAGGGAAACCCTTTCAGTTTAGAGTCACTTGTCGTAAGGTCTGCGCAAAGAGGAGATGTCCTAACGGGGAGATCCCAATCAGGGAAACTTGGGTTATGGCTAGATTGCAAAATTCGACAGCTACGCGGCATGAACGCAAAACGCGCCCCCTCCGCTGCCGCCCCCTCCATACGGTTTCTATAGACATCCAAACCGTAGACCCTCAACCCTGCACCCAAAAACCGTGTCGGGAGATGCTCCTGAAAGCTGGCGTCCTCTGCCCTGGGACTCATGGTCTCCAGGTTTGGGTTTGAAGTGCCGGAACAAGGCTACCCCCCTAAGCCCTAAATCCCTAAATCCCTAAACCCCTAAACCCCTAAACCCTTAAGCCCTAAACCCCTAAACCCCTAAACCTACACCTAAATCCCGAAACCCTAAACCCTAAACCCTAGGCCCGAAACCCCTAAGCCCTAAACCCAAGACCCAGCGTTGGGAAGGTGCGTGGGAAGTATGAAGATGCCGGCCTTCTGGTCGATGGGTTTAGTGTTTAGGGTTTAGGGTTTAGGGTTTAGGGTTAAGGGGCCTCATATAGAAGCCTAAGTAATTACCACTATTACTGCTACGGTTCCTTATTGTAATCATGCTATAAAGGAGCCCTAAACCCTATTCTAATTATAATTAAGGCCCCGATATTATGGAGGTCCAGGACGGTAGGGTTTAGGGGCTCCGATGTATCGGGCTGAAGGTGGAGGGTTTGAGGAGTGTGACAGAGTTTGGGGTTCAAAGAGTTGCATGTGGGGCTTGAGGGCGGGCTAGTGAGTGGGGGCTTCGGGACAAGAGGTCTAGGGTCTATCTGTGTCCGCATTCCAGGTTCCCAGTCCACTGTATGAATTTAGATGTTTACAGATTTCAATTTAAGCGTTTATCCGTATGGTGGAAGCCGGAGAGTTGGAGCATGCACCTTAACCCCAAACCCTAACCGCCTAAACCCCCACCGGAAGCACAGGAAGGCTTGGCCTTGTTGCCGCAGCTTGCGATTTGATTCTGGTGTGCAGTGGTCGGAGATTCTGGTGTGCAGTGGTCGGAGCAATGCTGTGGTGCTGTCCTAACAAACCTCCGCAGAGTGGCACCTTGCATATCTACAACACGACCAGCCAGCGCCTGGAGGGCGAGACTTCCATTGCAGTTTTTCTCAGCTCCTGGAGCTTTTCTGTATTCACCCATCACGGCACCGGGGAACGGCCTTCCCGTGCAGTGTGAAGGACGCCGTCTCTTGCTCCTTCCCGGTGCCCTGCCAGCTACAGGGCCGGCATCTATCTTTGCAAGCCTGTCGAATCGACCTCGCGCTGTCCAATACCGGATTACAGGTTGCTATACCAGAGATGTAAGTGGAATTTAATGGAGAATTGTAGAGTTGGAACTTCGCAAGCAGGGCTTTTGGAGCTTTAGCCCGGAGCCCCGCCAGCGTGTGGCCCGAAAATTAGGGTTGGAACCGGGGCGCCAAGGCTCAAAACTCTGCTGAAACAGCGTTCCAACTCTCCGGCATTCACTGTGTGTACGACCGGAAACCCTTTTCGGAGACCTTGGATCAGAATGGGATACTGCCTACACGCACCTCATTACAAACCGTGACCCCAAACCCCTAAACCCCAGGCCCTAGACCCTGGACCCTAAACCCTAGAACCCCTAAACCCTAAACCCTAACCCTAAACCCGAATCCCCAAACCCCAAAGCCCTAAGCCCTAAGACCCTAAACCGGATCAGGATGGGTTGCCTGCGGCTCCGCGGCAATGCACGGGCCATGGACATGGCGAAGCTTTGCCACGACCAGGCTTTGAAGACGCATGGGTTGGAGACATTGGGTTCTGGCGTTTGGGGTGTAGGGTTCTGGGGTTCTGAGGTGAAGGGTTTAGGGTTTAGGGTTTGGGACTCAGGGTTCAGGTTCTGGCGTTTGGGGTTTAGGGTGAACGGTTTAGGGTTTAGGGTTTGGGGTTTCGGGAGGATTAGGGTTTAGGGTTCCGGCGCAGGGTTCAGAGCTTAGGGCTTAGGGTTTAGGGGACTTAGTTTTAGAATCGTCGAACGGGATTATGCGGCGAACCTTCACACTACAGAGCGCATCCAAACCAGATTAAGTCATTCTCTTCAAATTAGGAAGGGACGAGACTGGAACTGTGTGGCTCATACAAACATCCCTCAACCGTTGATTGTGTGGGATGTAGACTAGGGCTTTTTATATCCATAAGAAGCTGCGTTCTACTGGGTAAGGCTACAGTCAGGGGATTTTGATCATTCATCCTGGGCAGCGTGGACCTTGATTGATGAGTTGAATCTAGGGTTTTAGGATTGGGTTTACGATTTGTTTAGGGTTTTAGGATTTTTTCGGGGATTCCGGTTTCTGTCTCCCTCTCTCTTTTACGATGCCGTTTCGTCCAGAGGGTCTAGCAGCACAAGGTTCGAGCTTTTCGGGTTGGGGTCTTTCGCGTCAGCGGAGCTGAGACTGAGAGTTCAGCGTT